TTACGAGTAATTTTTAAACCCCTACATTTGAAGTAATTCTGTGCATTTGAAATATTGAGTAGGCCCGACCAAGTTTTGAAATTCTGTTATAAAAATTTGTTTTAAAATTCGTGCCCGTTTAAAATTTTACGTTGGTGTTATGTGAAACCCGATATTGAATTTTGATGTTTTGATTTCTTATTAAATTGGCATTGCTTTGCTGTAGCTTATAGAATTACGGTTCGGATGACTATAATCAACTTTGGAATATACACTATCTGTACCAAAACCATTTACCAATCGCCCTTTACATTGAAGATATGAGCTATCTCTTTGTATCGGATTTGATTGAACCAAGGTTTACAGATTGTTAGATTTCGCGTCGTTTTAACCACTGGATACTGTATGTGTTGCACTATGTGTTTTCCAGACGAAGTGCAACGTCGACCTACGCAAACCCACACTCCTCAGTAGGCGTCGTCAGCCTTGGATGCACAAACAAATACAGTACATGCATAAAGTGTGGGCTATAACCTATTCACATATTGTTCCCAGTTGTATTGACTTCTCTCTATACTATTTACTGCTTTTGGGACGCATCCATTATTACGGCAGATGTAAACCACTTGTAACGTTTGGAAGTTTACTTCGCTGGCAAATGCTATTGTCAGGAATAAGTAATATTTAATTTTACAAAAAGCTGCATGTATACAAACGTATTAATGCGTCCATGTTGGCTTGATTAAAATACAACATATCGCAGCAATATGTTGTGTCCCTCTACAAATCAAACGGGCTGCCAGACACTATGTTCCCCAAACTCACGGATACGTTTGCAGCAAACCGTCGCAACAAGGCACCTCTCAAGAAGCCTCTGAAAACCGCCAAAGTTCGGTCGAAACAGCCGAGGAAGGTCCAGTTTATTAGTAAGTGATAAGTGTGTGTACGTAGTTTTAATTAGTAGCTTGTAAGGCTTGATTTTGAATGCTGTTTATGAATTCTTAGGGTTAGTCATAAGGGGTTATATCTATTTGGCGTAGTAAATGTGTATTACAAATAAAATCGTGCTACTTTGGTCAGGTCGTTGTCTCCAGTTGAATCTGACATTGACCGGTGTGACTGGTCGAAATCGATTGCCATTGTAACTCTTATTTTACACATATTTATCATGAGGGATGTTATTAATATTGGACTGTAAAATCGTGTGAAGTTGTTATAGTTAACTAACTGGTTAACAACTGGTTTGTTTTGACGAGTACTGCAATTCGGTAAATCCCTCATTGCTTCATCAAACATAATCACTCAAATCATGTTTAGTAATTGTCCTTTAAACAATGCATGTAATGATATAATCGATTGATCGATTTTCCTATTCAATACGCGGTCTTCCAATGTGCTTTTTATGTTGCTGGAAACGTATTTGATGGACAATCCAAATGCATCCAATAACACAGTCTTTAAGTGGTATAATTTAAATACTAGTTGTTTAATTTAAATAACAAATTAATTGGGGGTATTAACAACCACTTAAAGACTGGGTAAGTATTGGATTGATTTGGATTCTTTCCCGTTATTATTCATTGTTTTGAAAAGTACTATGTAAAACACACGCTGAAGTGGTTGTGGATTTGATATTAGCATCTCATAATACCTTTGTCCTTATACTCAACAACACCTTACATCCTGAATATTGCTTAATCAAGCATAAGCAGTATTATTAAAACAGTTGTATTTATTTTCAACCTATTAATCCATTTAGAATGTTTAACAGGATGTGAGTGTTAATGAGGAACGCACACAATTTTAATCTCATCATAGTGTAGGATCATACAGAATAAGTTCGAATGGTCCCGACACAGTATACAGCACAGAAGTGGTGAAAGGAGACGCGTTTCCAATGTTCAACAGTGGGGTGCCGAGTTGAGAGGGCAACACCCTTGCGAACTTGGGTGGTAGGAGGTGCTTCAACCCGCCACAACATACTTATCAAATTATTTCTATATGAACCACTCTTTTTCATTGGAAGTTTTTACACGTTATATTTTAAAATGTATTATATTATTTATTCTTTAGTGTTAGGTTATTGTAAATTACACCAATTTTAACAGCTCGTTGTAAATTACACCAATTTTAATGTGTTCACAAACTCGCACTATCTGAGGTAATTTATTTATAACTTGCCCAATAATTTGTAACCTCTCAAATAGTTGTTTTTATTGCATTTATTCTATAGGTTTCGGTTACAGAGATGTGATAAATGCGTTGTCTCATGTCATCATTGTTGAGAATAATTAATTAAATTGTTCAAGTTCATTAAGAAACTACCGTCATTGATGTAAAAAATGTACGGAAATCATTATAGACTGTTTACAAAATATATTCCCCATTGTAGCAAACGTGCGTTTTTTTTAAGAACCAGTGTTATTTTAATACTGGGCTTGGGTCTAAGTGGAGCATTCTTTTTAATTACGATCATGCTTGAAATACTAGAAACCAACACAAAATAAGCGCAATAATAACGCACAGGCCACAGTTTTTACGCTAACGAATTACTCTAGGCATAGTTTTAACTCAATTTAAACATCACTTGGCTCTATATCACGTATACAGATATAATAGCCAACGCAGCACACATCGCTGTCGCTTGATATCATAAACACGAGTTGAAGTATTAACACATACATTGATTAACATAGAAAAAAGTTTGAATTCCAAAAATGACCTTTTTGCGGGTACGGTTTTTATTAATTTGATTTCCTTCGCTGTACATTACTTGTCACATCACTTAAGGAAAACTATGTTGTTCAACATGAATATGGATATTTCATTATGTACAGTATCATATAAGCAAAACTTGGACCCTTCTAGATTACGGTGCGTGTAGACTCCGTGACGCCTCTAGTAGCAGACGATATATTGATTTTGTCATGGCCATGGTCATCAGTGGAGTTGTACATGTGACGTCATCATATGCTTCGTTTAGACACCGTGACGCCTCTAGTAGCAGACGACGCCTAGGTTAATATATTGATTGTACCATGGCCAGAGTAACAATATCAGTGGAGTTGTACCTGTGACGTCATCACAGGCTGCGTGTAGACACCGTGACGCCTCTAGTAGCAGACGACGCATAGGAGATATTGATTGTGCCATGGCCACAGTAACAATATCAGTGGAGTTGTACCTGTGACGTCATCACAGGCTGCGTGTAGACACCGTGACGCCTCTAGTAGCAGACGACGCCTCGGAGATATTGATTGTACCATGGCCACAGTAACAATATCAGTGGAGTTGTACCTGTGACGTCATCACAGGCTGCGTGTAGACACCGTGACGCCTCTAGTAGCAGACGACGCCTAGGATATATTGATTGTACCATGGCCACAGTAACAATATCAGTGGAGTTGTACCTGTGACGTCATCACAGGCTGCGTGTAGACACCGTGACGCCTCTAGTAGCAGACGACGCCTAGGATATATTGATTGTACCATGGCCACAGTAACAATATCAGTGGAGTTGTACCTGTGACGTCATCACAGGCTGCGTGTAGACACCGTGACGCCTCTAGTAGCAGACGACGCCTAGGATATATTGATTGTACCATGGCCACAGTAACAATATCAGTGGAGTTGTACCTGTGACGTCATCACAGGCTGCGTGTAGACACCGTGACGCCTCTAGTAGCAGACGACGCCTCGGAGATATTGATTGCAAAGTGTACTGCTAAACTGACCTTTGGGAATCCCGGTGCACTTTCTAAACTTAGATCGATTGTATAAAAAAATAAATGTTTCTCATAATATTCTCCATATTTCTAGTAATGCATTATTTTTATACTTTGATTAAACTTATACCAATGCGATTGTATAAAAAAATAAATGTTTCTCATAATATTCTCCATATTTCTAGTAATGCATTATTTTTATACTTTGATTAAACTTATACCAATGGAACCTAGCTAATACTGCAGGTCAATGGTCAATTTAGTTTTTATTCAAAAATTTCAAAAAGAGAAAAACTGCTTTTATTTTTTTATTTTCTGTCTGCTGACACTATAGCATTTTTCAACTGATCCACTTTTTTAAATTCTTTAAAATTTAAAAGAAAAAAGAGAGCTTTCACAAATTTTACTGAAAACCAGCTCAATATGATTAGACTAGACTTTAAGAATGGGGATGTAACAATAGTAGTTTACGCAACGATTGCGTTAAGTGAGTCTTTACGACACGAGTAGAAAATTGCCTTAAAAACTTCTACGAGTGTCGTAAAGACTATTAACGCGAGTTGCGTACACTACTTTACCTACGACCGTTTTTTAATTACTATCAATCTGGATTTAATTACTAACAATCACTACTGATAACTTTTTAGAGAGGTTATGTTTTCGTGTAGGTATTGTCATTGCCACTGAAAGTGATGCAACGACTTGTTGTATAATCAGCTGATTTCCTGTAATTACGTGTTTGTTAAACTTCGTTAAATATTACATTGCTAGCAGCATTCTTACCATAAATAATATTGTATCAGGTACAATCCGGCAAATATTTCATTTATTTTTGGACTTCCACCAACTTAATTAAGAATACGCGAGTATCAACATGAACAAGTCGGATCAACAATTAAATTGGTCAACTGATAGTTGACGTTCGAACCATTACAATTTTAATTATTTTCTCTCAATACTTGAACTTCATTGGTCCGTTACCTGTGTGGATATGAGAAAACTATGCGGATATGAAATGAAACTATGCGGATATGAAAGTAAACAGCTGTAAAGTGAAACTTTTCAATTCTAAGAACTGGACTGAAATGGCTACTTTAAAAAACGGTCGTAGGTAAAAATTATTTCTTCATTTTTTACCACTGTTCCAATTTTATATTGCTTAAGCTATTTTGTGCTTTGAAACTTACTGTGTACCTTTTCAAATACAGTAACATGGTTGAAACATGTCAGAAATTAGTCCAAAACAAAGTCACTTTTGAGCACAACAAGATCCTTTATGATTTGTGGTTGTTGCAGCGACCGAGATCCGCTGCCAGGAGAAGTCCAAGGGTGGACTGAAGTACGATGTGATTCTAGCAGACCCGGCTGGTACTCCTCCTCCTCCCAAACGCAACACCTCGCCCACCCGCACCAAGTCTGTGGACAACATTGAGGAGAAACTGAAGGCGGCCGAGGAGAGGAGACTGGTGAGTCACTGAGAGTGCTCTAATGTCCAATATTATGTAACTTTGCACTTACAGTAGTTTTTGATACTGTGATTGATAGTTAATATGTTATAAAAAATAACATCTAACTGCCAGTAAGTTATATACAATGTTTGAGTTTTGACTTTGTAACATTTTCAAAAAAGAATTTATTTTGACATTTTTTGTTTTGTAATATTATTGTAATATTAAACTTACTTGTCAAATTAAAGCTTAGCTCATAAGGAATGCATACTTTGAATCAAAGTAGATATATATATGCAAAAAAGAACTATAAGGTATTCAAAATAGCACCAAATCTTTTACATAAAGAGCCGCCGTCTTCCAACGAATAATATTACTCAAAATCTGATACCACCAAGATGATTTGTATTAACAAGAGTTTTACAATTATGTACATTAGATATATTTTTATTTGACCAATGTTTTTTATAGTTTTATTAATTACTTTTCCAGACTCATTAAATTTATCATTCATGTTAATATTTCCTTTTATAAAATTTACATAATATCATTTTAACCACCATATTAATCATGCCATTTTTTCAGTCCTTGGAAGCTAGCAAAATTTCAACCATCGCAGCCAAGCTGTCCAAGATAGAGGAGGCTTCGAAGAAGAAGGAAGAACAAATCAATGAATTCATCACGCAAACAAAAGAGGCTCTGGACCAGAAAATGGAAACATACTCGGAGAAGAGAGAAGCACACATTAGTGACATGAAATCCAAGTTAAAGGACCATGTAAGTATTGCAACAACTACTTTGATTTAACCTACAGGGATAAACCGCATATTTGGTCTGTGTGATACAACGGGTAAGGAATGTAAAAGTAAAACCACAGTTCTCTCCCTTCCGTTAAGATTAGTTTAGTTCTGCCTTCTTATTGGGCAACAACCTTTATATAATGCGCTGAGCTGTTTTGTCCATAGCCTCCTAAATAAACACGACATACCTATTTATATATAATACATATGTGGTAATAAAACAACCTTTCATTATTGCGATAACTTCTTATGGCATTGGGTTTTTTAATAGAAATAAAGTTTTGGAACAAGAGTATACTACAACACATTGCCCAAAAAGTCACGTAAGCTACAGGATGTTTTTTACGCAACCTAAATTAAAAGTAAGTTACTGTGAGAATGAGTCACATTTTAATGACAAAACAATCTTATATGTTGGTGTCCCTGTTTTCTTTACTTCTCATTGCTGATCAGCTGATACATTGTTGCATAGTTAGATATCTATGAGGTTTAGTGTAATTGGGAATCTATTTGAAATGAGACACAACATGGTGTTTCCCCAAGCTTGAAGAGTTATAAGAATACGTTAAAAGTAAATTATTGGTTTAATGCTAAGAAAGATTTGAAGTTTCCAGGAGTGATTCCAGTATCCAATAAATCAAATACTATTGACATGTACAAATTTAAAAAAATCTATTTAAGCATAAGCTCATAAAAAGAACACCATGTTGAGTCTTATTTACAATAAATTCCCAATTACCGCTACGCTAAACCTCATAGATAACTATGGAATAATGCATCAGCTGATTGGCAATGAAGTAAAAAAAAACAGGGATACCAACATAGAAGCTTGTTTTGTCATTGAAACTTGTCTCATGACACTTTTTATTTGGGTTGCGTAAAAAAAATTGTTGTATTGTATTATTAGGTAATTTGAGGATGAACTCAAATTGTTGGTTTGTCACTTCCTTCAGTGTTTATGTCTTGTTTCCCCATAGAATGTTATTGTTTATCATTAGAGCTTATGTTTCTTACCGATAAGAAGATCAAAACCCAGGCTCCCAGAATTGATCGGCAGGTTGGTGAAAGTTTTCTTTATTTCGCCTCTGCACATTATTTCATTTTAGTTTTATTTTGTTTTTTCTGTGTTGCACTTTAGTACTAGTTAGTGAGTGTTGTGCGCTTTTAGCTGGAGTCTGTAGAGAAAGCTCGTCAGAACTTGGAGCAGCAAACTCTGGAAGTCAAGAAGGAAGTTGAGGAGAAGTTAAAACACGCAGCTGACCAGAGGGATGAAGTGATCAAGAAGATGATGGACAGGCTCAAGGATCATGTGAGTTATAGAATTCTGAAAAAGTGATCAGTCCCATATTCTTTTGGGAATTAGTTGACTCTTGATAATCTGACACTTATTGGACCAGGAATTTGTCAGAATACTGAACATTTTCTGATCCCCAAAAATTGTACTAAGATTAACCTATCTTATCAGCTTAGATAATTCATCTTATGACATCCATTAAGTAGGTACTTTTCAACTATTGAGAGTTCAAATAATCAATAATTATGATTGCGGTGATATCAAGAATCTTTTATCGTGTAATATACGTTAGGCCTACTAAAATAAAAGCTTGGCTCAGCTGGATTTTCTCACTTTGTATTTGATCACTTTCAAAGAGCTTTTAGCCGCTAGTATCTTTAGTTAATCAGAAATCTGATTAGATCTGACTGGGATCAGTCAATTATATGCGGTAACATTAGGAACTTCAACGTGATGTTCTTACAATCCTCCGTTTTACTCTGAGATCCACATGATACAAAGATGCTGCCAAAATTCTGATTGTAACCGGACTTCTTATCGTAGTCAGAAACTAAATGCAAATGTGGCAGCAAACAATCCATCAATTTAGTTTTCAACCTCTGAAAAACTATATGATTTGGCTTATTAAATCTCGGGTTACAGATCTATTTCTTCTTTCTTAAGTTATTAGTTCACAACAATCAAGGACAGCTGGGTCTAGTTTTAAACCATGAAAAAGCTATTGACTTTTCTCAGGGCCAAACCGGCATCTTTTTGTTAAGTACGCGAGCATTATAACCTACCTCGCAGCTACACAGCGACAGTTAGGCTTGAATCAAATTAGAACATAAGTTAGGTTAAAATGTTAAACAATCAAGGCACATTGGAATAAAAAATAATCAACAGAATCACACTAATATCCTTATTCTATCCATTATCAGTTTTATTCACTTTAAGGTTCGAAGAGGCAGACTGGTAAAGCCCGGTTTTCACAACCCGTTCCTGACCGCCCTTTTCCGCTCCTGGTCCCAAGCGGTCAATGTTCCCTATCTGCTTGGCAGAGCTTTGTTATTACTCATCCAGTTATCTGCACCCAATTTGAGCTCAATGCGTTGGTTTCCTTTAATGAAGAACGTCATTATTAGCTAAACAAGCTGTTTTTTAGAAGATTTCAAAGTGTAATGCAATGGCTCCGTATTAATCAAAGCAGCAAGTTGTTGAAATCTGCGCTGTTCCCACCTTTCCTCTCTAAATTAGCTGGACATTTCTCCTGACCTCCCTACTTGGTCGCCAACCAAAACGTGACCAGGAGTACGGATTTACACGATTGGTTTTCAGGGAAGACGTTGATCAGGACCGATTTAGAGTCCCGAGATCGGGTCGTGTAAACTGGGCTTAAGACAGGAGACTCTTCTACTGAATAGACTTGGGCCGATGACTCAGTTATCACAGCATTGGATTACCAACGTTTGTTAAACTATCAAACGACATATTATTGAGAGTCAACTGTACTTTAAAAATTCTCTTTCCAAATTATAATACATTGCAGTAAGTGATGTTTTAAAAGTAAGTTCATCTTAATAATCCCATAAGGATAATAGATTGACGAATTCCTCAAAGAAATTTGTTAGTAATTGTTCTTTCATAAAAGTACTTAAATTAGGTTGTTGTGTTAAATCTGAGTGAATTGTCATAGATAAGTAAACTTTTTGTTTCACAATTCACACATTGGTTAAACGCCAGGCCACGACTTGATTCCTGTCCTTTCAAAATCATTTAACATTCATAATTTTACTTTCAAAATTAAATAGCTGTTGGTAATGGTAAAAAAAAAATCATAATGGACATACAAATTCTAAATTTATCCTATATACAAATTTTAAATATATAAATCGTGTCCGTTGGCGCTGTTTCGTAGAGGCCCTATGCTCCGCCAAGGAGTGACAGGAAATAAGTCAAGTAAGTCAAGTAAGTCAAATATATAAATAGCTGTTGGTTATGGTAAAAAAAAAAAAAATAATGGACATACAAATTCTAAATTTATCCGATATTCAAATTTTAAATATACAATACAGTAAATTGATAAATACTAACTAATTTTTGAGGAATGAAGTTTTTGTACATTTAAGATCACATAACCAGGTTGTGGATGATCTGCATCTTCTATGATGGTAATGTATTCCTTTTTAGCAATGTTTTTTTATTTTTTATTTTATTTTTTCCCTCATTGCTTTGTGTGTTGTGTCACTCGTAATGGTAGGAAGAGCAAGTGAAGAAGGTAAAAGCCTCCAATCAGGAGAAGATCTGCATGTTGGAGTCACAGATACAGTCCAAACTGAAGGAGGCTGAGGAGCGACGACTCACTAAGGAGAAGGAACAACTGGAGAAGCTCAAGGAACAGGTACAACTGAGTAGTAGACTGATAGCAGATATTCCTTATGAATCACTGCAGTTACACCAGTATGCAGCAACCCTGCAATGTACAGGGTGCGGTAAAAAAACCAATCTATTTATTGTAGCACACTGTTTAGGAACAGGTCGTCTGAGAGTGTTGGGGTTAGGATCGTTGGAAAGCCTACACAATGCTATTATCTGTGGTCATAGATCAGTGGTCACCTGAGTGTCATTGTGTGTTGTTATCGAGTCGAATTAAAAAAGTAATGATTCAGTCATTGCAACTCAGCGGCAGTTCCGTGCATTTTTTTAAATAAGTGCAAAGTCGATTCCGTCAAGTAGCGCAATCATGATATGGGCTACCAACATTAATGATGACTTCTGTGTTAAAAAAGAAGCTGACAAGCCATCCAAATTCAGAATGGACGTCAGACATCTATAATTCGATAGAGTGTGGCTGCTGTGGAAAAACAGTCGTCGTAGGCCCACCCGAAAACAAACATCTGCCTTTAACATATCTGACCGCTCAGTTAAACTAGTTTTGAGGTTTGATCCTAATTCTTATCCCTACAGATTAATGTGAATTATTCTGTTCAATTTTGTTGATTATCCATACATCCCACCTGAACTTCCCCATGTCGACCTAATTTAAATAATGCATAGAAACAATGCAATAACATTATATATATAGTACAGTAGACTCCCGATTATCCACAGTAATGAGTGGCTGAGTGATTTTTTCTTTCATGCATTTTAATGTCTTGTTTATTTGTATTGATCATTCTTAATGCTCCATGTGGATAATCAAGATTGTACTGTACAGTATATAAATTCTAAACATATACATTTTATTAGTTACCAAACTGCGGTGCAGTGGCAGATCCAGTAATGTCAAAACTTTGCCGCGAAGACGATGATGATGTTCAGCAGGGGTTATTCAGGGAAATAAACAATACTTTACCGCGATTGTGGAAGACAATGCTGATGGGGGGGTTATTCGGTGTTATGATGTGACCGTGGGAGACAATGACGATGTCTACACAGTTGCGGGAAATGATCAGAATCGTGGAAACCGATGATGATGTTACTGTTACCATGGGGGATATTCAGGATTTTGTCGTCACCGCGGGAGGCAATGACAATGTCTACACAACCGCAGCAAACGATCAAATTTTTTCTGCGATTGCGAAAGACGATGATTACGTTTCCGTGACATTGGGAAACGAGGACAGTCCCACATGGCCATGGTCCTAGATGGCCACGGCAGATGATCGATCAGAATTATGCCGCGAACGTGGAAAACGACAACAATCAATGATAATGTCTACACGACCGCGGGAGACGTTCATAATTTTGCCACGACCACAGAAAATGATGATGGTGTTAGTTACCGCAGGGGTTATTCAGGGTTTTGGGGTGAACCGCTGGAGACAATAATGGTGTCTATACGACTGCGGGAAATGAACTAAATTTTCAGCGAAGACGATGATGACGTTTCCGTGACTGTAGGAGCGGGAGATGATCAGAATTTATTTGCGAATGCGGAAGACGACGATAATGTCTTCTGGACCGCTGTAGTTGTTCATGGTTTTGCCACGATTGAGGAAGACGATGATGATGTTCCGTTACTGCGGGGGTTATTTAGAGAGTTCAGGATTTGCCGTGACCGTGGGAGACAGTGACGATTTGGGGGGGGGGGGGGGGCTTTATTTGCCTCTGCTACGGTGCAGAAAAGACCTAGACGTCATGCATAGCAAACACATGTAATGAGGTGACAGTTACTTGAGGTTTCATTGTCATCAAGTTGCACGCATCTTTAGAACTGCAAACACCAAAATACAAGGCACAATAAAACAGTGTGGCGTAAGCGTTTAATTGAATTCAGTTACATCTTATGGGTTCCTCTTTCAGGATTCTCACCCTAATGATGGGAGTGGTATCTATGTCTACAGCATACAACTGGAAATTTTCCATATTTCGGTTTGTCTATTCTTCCCGGTTGTTGCTGTTGTATGTATACACAGCAGTATGTATACTCAGTTGTAATTTTGCATCTCTGGTTATTACTTGCTCTACAGAAAAGGATAATGAATTTTTGTAAACTTGGGATATATTTTTGGTTCAGTAGTCTCCTTTACTTTTAATGAAATTAATTTAGTTACATGTGCACATGGAGTTGACCAATTGACGAATTCTAAGATATATGTATGATATAACAGGCTATATTAAGTTATGGTACAAACTTGCTACAATAATATAACCCCTTATTAATTTAAATGCCTTGGACTTTTGTGATTTTTTACAGTATAGGCCTACCTTGCATTCCAACAAAACTAAAGATTCTTAACAAAACTGTTAACTAAATCTTTAAGACTTATGCCACTGATTATGGAATTATTTCATTTGCGCATGTTACTTCCTTGTCTTGATTCTCCTGTCAATTATGTTCTTGGATATTTAGACTGTTAAATTGGCTCATGGTGTAAAAGCCAAAGATTAAGGCACAATTTACATTATTTCCTATTATAAATTATATGTAAGTAAAAAACCTTACACAAAATTGAAAAAATTATCTCTCTAAGGCATAATTTTATTGAGGCATAATCTACATTTTTAAAATACAGATTTTTACTAAACATAAAGATTAGGAGTCTGTGTCATCTGTTTTATTACTATTTTGATTACAGTAGACTCCCTCTAGTTCGGCCACCTCGGGACCGGACCACTGGCCGGACTACAAAACGGCCGGACTAACCGGAGGTAGTGCATTTTACATAAACAAAATACAAATAATATTGTTGCGCAGTTGTGATATGTTAAGTCATTAACCTCGGTTCAGTAATCAAAACTATAACGTTTAAAATCACACTTACTTATCAAGCTTAGCCGAGACCAACGCTGACCGTCGCTCAACAGCAGGGATTTAACGGAGAACTTTCGTTATAAGGTTGGCAACAGCCACGTGGGCTACCTGCCGAGCCGCTGCTCCCGGTCGACGAGTCCCAAAACAAAAGGATGACGTGATAAATCATTATAATTACACTATACAGAGTGTTTACTGATATTACATAATAAATTCATTTTATACTTAAGTTTTAAGTTACTGGATTAATCATTGAATTATGAAATGAATAATACACTTTTACTGACATGTCATTGAATCGAGAAAATACAATTATGTTTTAATTAAATTTGTTAAAACAAATCTTGGTAATGTTTGCAAACTAAATTTAGATCACCATTTATGTCCAAATATAAGACATACTTATCAGGTTTGCAGATTTATCCAAACATTGAAAATATTTCATAAAATGACTCGTCTTTTCAAAGATTTATGATTATCTTTTATGTATCAGTAATTTGTATGTAATTATGTAAAAGTAATTAATCAGTAATATACAATAAAAATGCTTAGACAAACCTAACACTGTTTGTCGGAACCATTTTTATTTTGCAATTATTTGGCTGAAATAAAAAAGTTCAAAAGTGATAAAAAAAATAAAACACTAACGTTATAAAATTCATTTTCAATTTAAAATTTATATAAATAGGCCTATGTTAAGCTATTAATTAATTATATTTTTATTTAGTAATTAATTAAAATTAAAAACAGCAACTTTTTACAATATTTTGTATGTTTTTGACAATCAGTAGTAAAAAAATGAAAAAAAAATATGTTGAGGGTAGTGAAATTGTTTGGAATTTAATGGCAAATTCAAATATAACATTCTTTTTGCTAAAAAAAAAAAAAACAATAAATGAGCAAATGAGATAATCCCGACATGATGTCAAGTTAACCCTGCCCCCTAGCAGGGTTAAGTTGAAGTCCAAAACCATTGTTATTTACGCCCGAGATTATCCAAATTGCGCTAGACCATGACTCGTGAACCCGAAATTTGGCCCAGGGTTTTCTCTAATTGAACCCGTGAAGCCGACTTTTTGCGCTCGGGTTTTCTCTGTCATAATTGGATGAAGTTTAACTGTCTGCGCCCGAGCGCGGTTAACCTTGTACTCGTGAACCTGATTTCTAAGTCCCAGCGCAAAAAACCACCTATAACTGGATTTTGCGCTCAAACTAAGGGTAACCCGTGACTCGTGAACCGTCCCTAAGAATGTCAATAAAAACATTACATAACTCATAAAATCATAGTACTTAGTCATAAAGATAATAACGACAGTCGTAAAATAGGAGAAAGATAGAAATGGATGATGTTAAACACTACTTATTCTTTTTTCTTTGTTCTTCTATTCTTTCTTTGGTTTCTCTTCATCAACACATTAAACTAGTTGCCATGGTTACTAATCACCCAATCACAAACTGTTGTGAGATAGCAAGCGCACATCAGACATCAGTTGTGTAAAGAGCAAGAGCAGATGGTTGTCAGCGCAAGCGGATAGCTTGACCTTGAAGCTAATGATGGCCATTTCTTTGTTTTGTTTTAATTTATTTTTGTCAAATAAACCGTGGTGTTTCAAAAACAATAATGGGGGAACCTACCACATAAAAAATGGTCCGAAGTATTTAATTATACACTGCATTACAACATATTAAACTGAAGAAAAACTATTTATAAAAATGTTCTTGGTATTTTTGAGGTTATGTAACATAGTTTTACGTAGGTAATATGCAATAATTCACCCATAGAAGCACCCGTCAACTAAACTGACATGAATTGTTTACTACTATGGCCGGAAACTAAACATTCAAGTTTAATCCTGTCGAAGGTCATTCGCCCGTGACGATATGACTTTTCCCCCTGAGACCGGGCCGGACCATCTGGTGGCCGATCCAACCAAAGCCGAACTAGAGGGAGTCTATTGTATTTACAGTTATTCATTACCACCTAATGCAGCGTTCTAAATTATTTTTGTAAACAAATTTTAAAAAGATGGTCATTTTTGACTGTATTATTTAAAGATTTTCAAATATTTTACCTCTAAAAAAACCAAAATAAATAATAACTAACATTAAGCATTATTATCTATCTGAGCCCAGTACACTGTTGTAAGTTTAATTGCCACAATGCAGTTATAATTGTCAGAGCTGCTGATTTGGTTTGAGTAACTGAACTGAAGCTCCTACATCAAATGTGAGGCTTCAACTATCATAATTAAAATAAATTGAGTTCAAATTGACAAGTGAAATTCAACTAATGTAGTGGTTTTTACTGTGACCTGTCAACAAGGGTCTTAAATTTCATTATGCTCTACATGTATGTACCTGTGTTGTTTGCTTACTGTGTATTTAGCATTTTGTATGATGCATGCTAGAATAAAGTGAAAATAGAGAAGATAAAGCTGTTGACACAAGAAGAAGAGAAGAGGATGCGAGAAACTATCCAAGAGAAATTAGAAACAGCTGAGCAAAATCGGCTGAAAGAGCTGGAAAGGAAAATAGAAATCGCTAGGATGAATGTATGTTGTTTTGAACTCGGAATTGCTATGGATGCTAACTCCTGGCGCATGTTGGGAATTTGGGAATGTTATGTTTGATGCTATTAAATCATTTTTGTTGTGTTTTGTTTTAATGCATAGTATTAAAATGGATGAAAAAGGCTTTTTGTATTTTCATAACATACTTTTTAGAGGGCCAAAGTGTTGAAATTGGTTGTTTTTATGCATGATTTTCATAAAGCTTAATTATAGGCCTACTTTTATAATATATCAATCATAATTAACTATATTGTTCACCGCTCAACAAAGGAAGCAGCTTCTAACAGTGAAAATAGGTCTTAAGAGTCTTGCTCTTTTGGGAGTTTTTGTAAGCTTTCAGATATATTGTAAATATGTTAAGCTTTAACTACAAATGCCTTAACCTTTTTATTACATCCATCATCATTCACTACAGCAGCAATCACTAAACGCTTTTAGAATCATCTAGCTCTACTTACCACAACTCAATTCATTACCATATTAACATATAGAAATGTTTGGAAATGCAGCATGAAACTGAAGACATCAACTTATTAGAAAGCTGTTTAAGGCTTCAAATGTTAATGTATTGTTATGCATTGGCTTAATCCACCGATAATATTTTATATTATGTACAACTGGTAATACTGTATGTGACCCTTACTGTAAATGCCCAACAACCAAAATAAAGGGGGCGAGTCTGTCTTTTTCGCTCAATAAATGGTAGAAAGTTATTGGTTAGTCGGTTAAAAGAGATCTAGAACAGTATTTTTGCACTGTTTTAACTACAGTAGGACCTTGATATCTTGATTCTGAAGAGGGTGTGATAAAAATTCATGTTGTTGAGTTTTTCGTTTCGAGGAAGCGAAGTTTGAGTTTTGAAGGCGCTTTATCAAAAATTAGAGATACCAAGGTAACGGATTCTGACAATGATGTTGCCTCATGATCTTTATTATTTCACCGTTATGCTGCAGTTATTAACACGTACTGAAGGATGCAAAAGGGTACTGTTGAAGCAAAACCAAACAAATTATTATGCATTCAAAGTACTGTATTTATTATTCAGCAATGGTATTTTACAGTTGAGTAGCAACCGGTCAAACGGTTTCTACTCATTACTCTCTCTAGGCGATGTATTCATCAGTCTATTAGTTAATCTCCCTTTTTCCTCCGCACCAGATTTCAAAATTCACTTTCCACCCAGTTGCCAGTTTTTAGTTGATTAGCAAGATTCTTAGTGCCCATTATATTACTTTACATGAGACTGACTTCATTTTGGATTTCTAACATATTAAAAAGCGTTCGTATTACTAACTCAGACCAGCCAGAATCTTGTAGCTGCCCCCAACACCTTTAAAAGCAAGTAATGTTTGAATGAGATGGTTATTTTATACTTTAAAAGGATTTTGAATAGGAAATATAACGTCTTTTTTGAAAACTAGGAAAATAAAATAATACCCTATACTCACCAAATTTGCGTTAAGACAAATTGGGGGCAGCTAACGTTTCCAATCCAAATTAACACAAGTCGATGTTTCCCTCCTATTAGATTTATTCAAAATCGTTCTACTACATTGTTTCTTGATTCCTCTCTGGATCCTATGATCTCCATCGGCAATTGCTATTTGCTTAGTGCAGTTATTGTTCTACATATTGCTCTATCGTGGTTGCAGGAGCGGCGAGCTGAAGTCGTACGTCAGAAGAAGTTGAACGCCAACCAGGAGGAGCAGAACACTGCATCCTCAGGCTAGACGTCTCCACACTTTGCCGCTTCATCGTATTAGCCAGGGTTTTTAAATATTGTACATTATGTGATTTACGTACACCTCGGATCGTGCGAGACTTATTTGATAATGTAAATTAGTTGTGAGAAATGTGGCTTTTTGTGACTAGGCTTGAGCTGACGTTCGCACACACACACTGCCTTTTTGTCGGAGTTATATTTTCAGGGGTTGAGCTTTTTTAGTAGTTTTATATCCGAGGGCGAGAATGAGCGTTCGCCTTGTGATAACGATGTAATTCCCCTTTTATACGCTACAATCCAGTTTTTACTCTGCGTTTCTTTTCTATCCGACAATCGGTTTTTATATTCCTAAATCTTTTGTTTACTTTATTTTATAGTTATTAGAATTTTAGTCCCGGTTAACTTACCCGTTGAGCTAATTTGTTTATATTCTTACTATTTGTATACTTGTTTTGAATTTTTGCTATTAAAACCTTGTGATTTGTGAACTTTATTTTATTAGTTTAGGGTTTTACTGAAAGGTCTGTAAGAATTATTATGATGTATAATGTGCAGAGGCTTTCGTTGGTGCTATATGTCAGAAGAACCAGTTCCTTGAACATTTTTGTAACTCATAAAAATGTGTTAGCTTCAATTGCCTTAAACTGCCTTTGTTGCTATGTCGTTTTCAAGCTTTCAGTGACCTTTATTATGCCTTAAATATTTTTATTGTTGTACAATAGACTGACACCTCTGCTATTTTAAGCTGTTACTGAAGTAACATCAAATTTGATTTCCTGCCTTTTGTGCTTTTGGAAAAAGTTAATTGTGAGTAGATTTCAGTCGTAGAAATTAAATCAAAATAAAATTTAGTTCACAGTTGTTTGTGTTTTTGTGACTGCCTTTTTAAATCACTAATTGTTTAATAAGATCATAGTGTTAGACCAATGAAAAGTGGAGATACTTAAGACCTAGATTGTGGCATCAAGACCTAGATGCCTTTGAATGAGTTTATTCTTTTTTAATTTTTAGTGAGCAATTTTTTGACCCGATTTCCTAGCTGCCGAATTTGATTGTGAGGTTTTAAATGTCCCACCACATTCTGATCATATGTGTTTTTCGACATGAGTGCTTTCCTAGGAGTGGGTGTGTATAGTTTTTAAGAGGGGTTTATTTCGGTAGACAATATGGCTATTCTAAGCAAATTCAAGAGAAGTACTGTTACGTTCACTCATCAAAGACTTACACGATGAAACTGACTTTCTTATCAAACTAAAATACTCCTTAGTTACGAAATACCCCCGCCGCAGCAAACCTGCCGGCCAAGCGAATTAAAAAAAAAATAATCAAAATATATCCATAAACAAGCAAACTACAACATTTTACAATATTCTCCATAAGAATAACATGGGGATTTTAAAATAACAATTTTTTAAATTTTCTCCGTAACCAATAATTGTACAAAAACACTTTGATATACTAAATCAGGGTGGCTAGTGACCTGGAAAACCTGGAAATGTCAGGGAATATTAAATATCTGGAAAAGTCAGGGAATTTTGTCATAAGTCAGGGAAAATTGTAAAATGTTAAACATAATTTTAATAATTGTTAGGAAAGGTCGAGAGTATGTGTGCCGTGTGGTTGAAAACTAAGAAATAACTCTTTACAAATAAATTTTGTGTTTTTGTACAAATTAAATTTTATTATAAACTGTGTATAATCTTAACTCAGTTTAATTTTATTAAGGTAAGTTGCAAAGTTTGAATATAAGCTAGACTGTATCTATAGATTTTATGTATGTTCTTCATGTAAACAAACATAAGATATTCTTCAGATAAAGATTAGTCCTTTTAAAGAATTAGTTAGGTAGTATTAGGATTGTAATTTTGAATTTGTCGATCAGGGAAAGTTTAAAAAAATCATGGAATTGTCAGGGAATTTTTCAATGTGATTTCACTAGCCATCCTGTAAAATTATTTGTTCTTTAAGCTCTTTAAAAAGGTCTGGAGAAAAATTGGGAAATTTTTTGTTAATAGGGTCAAAAATTAGAAAACCCAATTTTTACCCCATAAAACCCTGTTCCCATGGTCCGATCATGCAAGTTGGCGAACTCATTCAAGTTCATCCCGCCTTACACTTTCAAACCAAATTCAAAGCATATTTATTAGTTTGCACACTAACAGTTTTAAACGTTATTGAGTTTCGTTGAAGAAGCAAGGACTCCGAAACGCTCAACAGATTGTAATGAAACTTGCAGGCATTATTAAGGATTATTCAAGGATGGTTTGTGTGAAGTTTGGTGCAGATCCGTCAAAAGGGCTCCGCCCCAGTGGCTCTAGAGTTTCCCACATTAACCTTTTGAGTACTCATATTTAAATGGAATTAAAGAATCTTAACAGCTGGTTCAACTAAACAATTTGATTCTGTGATATTCAATAGCATTAAAAAGTTAATATGTTTACCAACAGGGTGCAGCACTATTATTTTTTTAATTTATGACAACAGTTAGTTTGCAACCAAAATGTGAGTGAGCGTAGCGAACGAACTTCAATCTGGAGGCGAGTTAGTGTAGCGAACGAGCTAACCTGAAGGCAAGTGAGCACAGCGAACGAGCTCTAACCTAACGGTGTGTAAGCGTAGCAAACGAACTTCAACCAGGACGTGATTGAACCATGCGAACGAGCTCATCTTGAAAATGAATGAGCATTGACATAAAACCACATTAGGACGGCTAATGTGACGTCTGTCGGGCCAGCTAGTGTACAATATATGAGGGTTACAAACTAATGACAAGTGAAAGACGTACAACAATTATTCCCATGTTTTGCTTGTTTCAGTTTCAAGTTTCACTCAAATGTGATTTGCATAGCATAATCTAACTTAGAACCCAGACAGAATATTTATGGAGAAAACAGATTTTTACCCATAGTAATTATTGGGATGTTTTAAAAAGTCTAGCAGCAGACGCTATCATTCTACACTAGCTTTTGGTATAAAATCATTTGCTTAACACTGTAAACAGCAGCTGTAAACATTAAGCGTGTATGTGACACAAATTCAGCATTTGGATAATAATTACATGCATAGGGTTGACCTATTTATACTATGTGTAATGCTATGCTCATTGATACGTCCATTTTATGGGTAAGAGGATGACAGACTATTTAAATATTCATGGTAAAATGATAGATGTTCTAATTTATTTTTTAGAGCAATCTTTAAAATTTTAAGTTAATTTTAGTGCAATATAATTTGTTTTAACTAACAGCTTGTTGAATATAAAAGTTTTCTTTAGATCCAACAGGTTAGTTTATTATTCTGTGATTTTGGCATTGATTATAGAAAATAAGTTAGATTCAAGATTCTATAACCACTGATGTATACAAATCGAGGCTCTGCCCCCCGAGTATTCAAAGGAAAAATTATGCAAGTTATTTTTCTGTTCGACTTTTTGAGGAAAGAATAGGAAAATAACAATGTGTACATGTTTTAATTCATCTTGGCAGGTTTTTGTTTACAGGAAATGGTTAACTGCTTGAACTTTGCTTGGATTAGAAATGGAAATATTAATATAATTTCAGTTTTTGTTGACTTCTCAATCCCGTACGTAGGACGGGCCAACAGCTCGTATAAGTAACATTAGTTTGAAAAAGTACTTAGGTTTGCTGCTACAGGGAATGTAATAAGGTTCATGTTTTTTTATTGAAGTGTTAACATGTACGCTGACGACCTACAAATTTACTCTCACTTCAACGCCGATGACATTAACATTGTGTTTCAAACATTAACGAAGACATTGGACGAATCATTGAATGGAGCGATAAACATGGACTTAAAATCAATCATGACAAAACCAAACCCATCATAATCTGCCATCAACGGCTGCAAGGAACTGAACTACCATACTGTGACAAAGTGAAAAACTTGGGACTGACTCTCAACACTACACTCACTTGGGGAGATGCAGTGATTGACATTCGTAAAGGTGTTCTCATCAATACATTCATTAAAGAAATTGCAAACTTTCTTGTCATTGCACATAAAGCTCCACCTTGTCAAATCACTCGTATTTCCCCACTTCACTTACTGCAACTCTGTGATCAATGACATGACTGTAAGTCTTGCTGGTGTGCTGCAACGCTCGCAGAATTATTGCTTGCGATTTGCATTTGATTTAAGACGCTTTGAACACATTACACCTTTCTACATTGAATCAAAAATATTAAAGTTGAACGATCAGAGGCTACTTAAAATCACCATGTTAGCATTTTCAATTTTAAAAAATAGATTGCCAAAATATTTTGAAGGGGACTTTAGCTTTGTAGCCGAAGGTAGCTTGAGGAGTTCACGCACTGCATCTTTCACGTTACGCATACCTCATCATGGTACTGTTCAATTCCTTCACCTAAGTTCTCTTTAGCCTGTTTAGTATTAGAACAGCTGATGATTTTAAAATGATTCATAATATTTTAAAAATATAATATAATCAGTTCTTTTTGTAAACATGGTTTACTATTTTTTCTCTCTTAATATATCATTAATATTCAAAAACACTCCACATTATTTAATTGGTCCTTCGATCCAAGATATTACTTAAGCGATTTGGAATTACTTTCATCCACTAAAACTCTTCATACATCAATATTTCCTCATTTTACCCATTGTTTTCTGTGCCTTTGAACTCTCACCCAATTGAACTCTTATTTCCACATTGGAACTCTTAACCCACTCATTTACACTTTGTGAATTTTTGACATTTATCTCCTCATCTTTGTACAATGGCATCTCCAAAAAATTATTTTAAAATTGAAACTTATACTCGACTCACATCTTTTATTAAAACTCGTCTCAAGAAAATAAGAATCATCGTAGATCAACTTGTTGAAGAAGAGTCATTAACTAACAGTTGTACAACGGGAAGCCTTAAAGACTCTAATGCAAGAAGCCCATAAGAAGAAAGAAGACTTTGATTCTTATTTTCATCAAATTGTAAGTACACGTCAAGTGAAGATGATTTGAACATTGAAACATTAGCTGAAGAAGAAGACCAAATCAGTGAACCATTCATCCACATCACCAGCTACATCAAAGTGCTGCTTTCAGAAATTGGTTTTACCCCTTATTTGGCCAAGGTTAATTGCAGTCCAGCTCAACCTCAGAGAACCACTGCAATGAATGTAACAAAACCGAACTCATCAAGTCCAGCTCAACCTCAGAGAACCACTGCAATGAATGTAACCAACCCGAACTCATCAAGTCCAGCTCAACCTCAGGGAACAACCTCAATGAATGTAACCAACCCAGACTCTTCAAGTCCAGCTTAACCTCAGAAAACCACTGCAATGAATGTAACCAAACCAAACCAATCAAATGAGTTTCAAACCAAAGGCAACCAGATAATACAACCTGGAACAAAATTCATTACAATAAAGAGGACGTGATTCATTACAATAAAGAGGACGGTGACAATCACGATTCCTAAGTTCACAAACTCGAAAATTACAAACACCACAGTGACAGTAACAAAACCACAACCAACGAATACAGATACAACAGTGAGCTCAAGTACTTTGACAAGTGACAGTGCTGCCATCCAACCTACCAACATTGCTGTCATCCCAAGAGACAATACTGTTTATCCATCCTACTGATAATGATATCACCCATCCTATCGTGTTGCTATTAAACCAACAGACAGTGCTGCCGCTAACCCAACCAAGAGTGAAACCACTACTGTAAAGACAGTCAAGCAATCCAGGCAAGTGGTTGTATCTTCCGATGAAGCTCTGGACAAAGGCTACTCTTCATCACAAACTACAGAGGAAGCGCTCATCCTTCAATCTCAACTTGTTGAATTACTGAAACAAGAGTACTTTGAATTG